ATGTCTGGGGAGAGACGAGAGGTGGCTGGAGAGAGCGGGTCAGGTGGAAAGTCCTCTTCCAGTTGGTCTAGGATGGATGAAGGGGGAGGAGCCGAACGCGGGTCAACAGGTATGTTGGGATTAAGTGCGCTGTAAAGTCTTGGCAAATTGTGGCGTATTTTAATACTATCAGTAGTGTAAACATAAAACGCAGCATAAATGTGAGCCTGTGGACGTGTTTTTATAGACATCAGGGCAGTTGGCTTTTCAGTTTTGAGGGCGGAGGAGGAGACAGCACTGGAAAGAAATCATCCATATTTATCTGTGGTGGTAAATTTCTTCCAAATGACAGGTATCTTGAAGAGTGTGTGAGTGGTGTTTGTGTGTGTGTGTGTGCGCCTCCTCATCTACCTCGTCTGCCGGTGACATTTTTTCTTCTTCTTTGCGGCAGCAGCTTTTTCATAGAGATAAAAACTCTGACAGCAGCCACAGCGCTTCCCTTCCACTCCCCCCTCACTTCACTCCTCTTCCACCTCCTTCGCCTCTGCAAGCTGTGAATTATATTGCCTTCGCTGAGAAGGTCTTAATGTCTCTGCCAACAAAATGGTGGAAATGTAATGAGACAAATGGCGAAGGAAGGGGAGAATTATTGAATAGGGATCAGAAAGGTGTTCAAACGGTGACAATGGGTACAATAAGTGGCTTTTTGTTTGTCACTTTCCTTTCTGTTCTATACGACTTAATAAGAAGAGAAAAGGGAGAAATTCCTTTCTTTCCTGTCAACACAGTTGGCCACCCTAGTCATTGTGCGCCTTTCCTTCCCTCCCTCCCTTCAGTCTGTTCCTCATTCTCCACTGCTGCTTGTTTTTGCCTCTCATTCAAACTTCTTTTTATTATATTGTACATTCCCTTTCATTTAATTGAAAGTATTCTCCCATGCACTGTTTTTGGGACCTTTCGTTTATTAAAGGCCCGAATCCCACAAAGCCCCCCCCCCTGCTCCTTTGATTCCCAGCAGGATGTTGCTTTGGTTGAATGTTGACCAGCCTAGTTTCAGTCATGTTCTCAACCTGTTCCTGACCGCCACAATCACAGTTAAAGGCTTTAGTCTTTCATTTTGTGGTTGTTCATAGCACTTATGTCGTTACTGGTCAGGGTGGAACAATGTAAACTTGGGCCAGTGCAGCCAGAGTCAGCCAAGTGTCTGGCCCTGCACTGTACAGTCTGCTCTCTCTGTGGTTTAGGGATCTGTCCTTTTCCTCTTCCTTCCATTTTCACCCTTTGACCTGCCAGTCTTCAGCAACGATTATGTGGTCATGTCATGTCCAGAAATAACACGAGTCACGCAGCGGGCAGAATACATACTTTTTTTTGTTATGCACACACACAAACAGGACATTTGCTTACCCTTTAGCTTCAAAAGGGCTTTCCACCAGAGTAATTACATGGTTAATTCATGGAGAAATTACTATTTGTCATGACTTTTCAATACTTTTTTTATATTTAGCTTAAAAGGGTATCTCTTCAGAAAGCAAACAATACACAAATACCCACATATGCTTGTATATAAACACGTGCACTCCTGAAAAGCAGGCATGCACACGTGCTTACATCCTTTATTAGTGGAGAGCCCCGTGGGCTGTGGTGCAACTTTGCAGATTAATGTGCAACTGAATCTACATTTCTAGATTCATTCCAGCAGATGTTATGATTTCTCTCTTTACTCCCTCTGTCATGATGCTGTGGTCATTAGCAGCCTTCTCTGTAGGTCTTGTTGCATAACATCCACAGAATTATACAATAGTCCCAATTATACCCCAAGTTTTGCTTCGGGACACATACGCACGTTTTCTCACGCGGCGCAGCTTGCCTAGAACAAACAAAGCCAGCAGGGACCATCTGGGGACAAATTTGTGTTTGATGTGCTTGGCTTTTGCTGACAAGTGATGTGGGTTTTTGTTCATGGACATGGCAAAAGCAAAATAAAATCCGTGTCAGTGTCGTGAAATCTCGGAAGCGCAACTGCTGTAGTAGTAAAATATATGCAAATGAACATAACTTCTGTGTGTATTCATCAACGATGTTTGTGCCACAGGGTGTGCTCTCATGTGTTTGTCACCAACCCCAGCTGTGTGTAATGGTCTATTTATTGCAGAGGCGCCAGTCTCGAAGTCTGGTCAAGGATACTCGGGAGCTCCTCGTATCCAGAGGCAAGAGCAAGTCATCCACCTGTCCCCGAAGAAGGGCAGCCAGGTCAGGCTTTACATGGTTTTTGACATGATGGTGATGTAACTACATGAACATTTAGGCTTTTTTGTATAACCAGAATATTTTATCATTTTCCCTGTACTCTTCTCTATTATCTGTTGTTATGCAGTCGGATGGCCCTTACTCTGGTCACTCCAGTAGTAACACACTATCCAGCACTACGTCCAGTGGGGGCCACAGCGACAGCGACAAATGGTATGATATGGGGACTGGTGGGGGCTCCAGTGGTGACCAGGGTGACCCAGAACCCAATGGCCTGGGAGGAGGTGGTTACCTCCAGGGCGCCTCGGCCGACAGCGGCATCGACAGCGGCTCTTTTGGAGCCTCTCACCACCCCCACCCCCACTCTCACCACGGCAGCACCACCTCGCTGCTGGCTCCCAGTGGAGGCAGAGACAGCAGGGAGAGGTCAGCGTCCCCATGGCACAGTCCAACCGAGGGAGGCCGCAGGATGCTCGAGAGGTCGCCTGCTGCTGCAGAGTCCCCTGGCCCTCCAGGAGAGAGAAGCATGGATGGAACAGGTCGAAGTCCACCTACTCACCTCCTTGTTAGAGACAGCAGCACCTACAGCCTGAGTGACACTGGATCTCACTCAAGGTGTGTGTGGGTGTAAAACCTGAAGCTTCAGTATTAAACTTATCCTCTAAGGCAGGGAGTGCAGACTTGAGGGTGGAAGTTTCCAGAAAAATGTTGTGATATGATTAAGACTCCTGACAGAAGAAAAATGTTTTAGCTTCTTCTTAGAAAACGCTGGATGGTTAAAGCTTTTGTAAAACACTGAAGAAAAACAGATTTGAGAAGAGATCCCTCTTTTGATTCAATTGCATACAGCTAATAACCACAAACACTGTAATCCATTTGTTGTTTCTCACCTTGAAGCCTAAGAATTGCACCTAGAACGTAACGTGATGACATGATCATACCTGAGGTTGAGGTAAACTGCTTCTAGAAGCAGATGGCAAATGCATCATCATACTGTTTTCAAATAAACACATTTCACTAAGAAGCAATTGTTTGAAAGACCTGAATTAAATCTATTAAAGTAGAGAGTTTGACAGCAAAGTCCAACAATGGTAGGAAGTAGACCCAAACCCTCCCCTGGAGTCTAGATGCTGGTGGTGATAGTGGTGGTGATGAAGCAGTTGGAGATTTAGGTGATGATCTCTGATCTGAAATGGTTAGGAGGTGGGTTTGATGAATGAGAGCGTGAAATGATAATTCAGAAGAAAATGATTGGGTCAGAGTGACAACGACACAATTGAGTTTGACAGCTTGGGAAAGCAGAAGGGATGTAATGAATAGACTGAGTAAATATAAATCTACCTGATTAAACCTGCATTAACTGTATTTGTGCAGCTCGCTCACTCAGCTTTACCACTTTTGTCCTGTCACTCTTACCTTGATAGGATAAGCAACTGATCCCTTAGCCACAATACACTAAAAAAAACTCAAGTTGTTTAACATTGATTGACAATGAATAACATAAATTGGTTCATTCAAAATATGTTTCATCTCACAGCTATAACTAATCGAGTTTCAGTTATGCATTGAGATCTGGCCTCATCCATTTCATAATTTATTATCTCAGTATTTGCCTGATTGCTGCAGTCATTGTAGTGCATAAGAAATAATCTTAAATGTGGATACAAGCACTGAAGTTTGTGTGTTAGTCCCTCTATTTGCCAATTTCCATCTTAGGAATTGGCTGATTAACTACAGAATTTCAACCACAGGATCGGTTTTGGTGATTTTTCTCTTGTTTTTTGACTACAGATTAATCAAATTTATGACTTACTTTACAGCTGTAAGTATTTGACACTTACAGCTAGGTCAGGACACTTAACATGCATCTGGTGCCAATTTATTCCTGTGGAAATCAGTGATTTATATGTACTGGATGCATGAAGTTTCTGTTCAGCTCCCTTGTGCTGGCACACTTTGTCATATATATTTTTCTATTATTTTATTATTCAGTTTGGGGTGTTTTTTTTTTTTTTTTTTGTTTTTTTTTAAGCAGGCTAACACAGAGAAACAAACAAAACCATCACATCAGCAGCCAGTCCAGTTAGCATTACCAGTTAACCTGATAAGCAACTTTAGACTGGTTCAAACCTAGAACCTTTTTTACCCTCACTTAACACTCTCAAGTACTTTTATACTGCAAACTGCATCCACAGACACGTTTTTAAATGTGAAGCCAACCTTAAAGAGTAATTTTAACTCCCTCTACACATGCCAACTTTTTTTTTTTTTAAGTTAAGCTAATATGAAGATCTGAAGGAACTCCAGTGACCTGCTCTTCTCATTTGAAGAGTCTTAAATCACCAGTAATGATAGTTACACCTCATGACCTCGGTATCATGTGTCCAGCATTAAAACTACATTTGTATTCTGTCACAGTGATGGAGGGTATAAAAAAAAAAAGGGAGGGGGGGCAGAATGAGCTTGCCAAGATTGGCTTGACAGCAGGTGATACTTTCATATAGTTTTCCATTTATAACTGAATAATATATGCCCTACCTCAAAATTCCTTGATAAAAGATGTCTCACTGCCTGTCTCAATTTTGTATTACTGCTTGACCTAAGACCAAGCTTGACTTCTTAAAACGCAAAAACATTAAGATTCTTGCTTAAATAATGCACAGATCTGGGTTTAAAAGAAAAAGCCTGTCTTTGCTTTAAGATGTATTTTTGTTGTTGTTGTTTTTTAGTGAGGATTATGATGCAAGTTGTGTACATTTGTTTCATTACTATTTCCACATCCTGTTCGTTTCCTCTGTCCATCAGTGCTCGCCACTCGGGCCACAGCTCTCCCAGAGAGGAGTCGTCCTCTTCGGCAACCTCCCCTTCATCTCAGTCCTCAGTGTCCCCTGGGCCCAAGAGCTTCTACCCGCGCCAAGGAGCTCAGTCCAAGTACCTGATTGGTTGGAGGAAGCCCGGCTCCACCATCAATTCTGTCGACTTTGGAGACACGCGCAAGTAAGGATGAAAGGACTATACAGAAAGTAGAAAACAACAAAAGTCTTGAATTGTTATTCAAACTGTGTATTTGAGGTGTGAAAAGTTACATAAATTATTAAAGTTATATGTTATCAATAATTCCTCTAGAGGTTTTTGAGCTTTAAATGCCTCGGTAAAAGAGAGTTGGATGTTTTTGTGTCAGCTCAGTGTTAACTTTCACAAGAAGTTATTGATCCTGGTGAGTTTTTTTTCAGGCTGTTGGTTAATAATGAAGAAACAGAACAAAAGATGTTCCGGTCAGATTTTTCTAAATTTGGCAAATCCTTCAGATGGTTCATTGGGCATAGTACAGTGCATTAAAATTCACTTTATTCCCAACCACATTAGTGTCTAATGAATGATGCCACCACTGTGGCTGTCTTTCCCCCCTGCATTACTGCATTTATACTCATCAGATCAAATTGAACTTTCCTCTGATTTATAGCAGTGCTTTCATTTGTCAGACTGCTTTTAATCCTACTACAACTAATACTACAATTTTTACATTAACGGTTTTCATGTAATATCATGTGTACTACTTGATTACCCCCTTGTGGCTCAAGAGAGTATT